ACCTCGGTTAGAACTTGGGCGGCCTTGTGTGACAATATGCCGTGCGGGATGTCATAGAAAATAATGTCGGCCACGTCTCAAGCAGGCAACGTTTACCAAACCAACACATGTTGCAATGAGATTTTGTTTTGCGAACTGCGAGCGAAATAGCCGCACCCCCGCCATGTCTGGCCGTGCCGTACCATGTCTGAGTGTCCGAACGCCAAACAATGGCCGTACCGTAGCGTGCCGCGCCAAAGCGGGCGTGCCGTCCCGTGCAATACCATGCCGTTCCTGCTTTGCAAAATGCGAACCATTGCCATGCCGTGCCGTGCCGTGTCTGGTTCTCAGAATGCGAAAAAATTGCAGTGCTGTGGCGCGCCGGGTTTTCTTAATGCGAGACAGTTGCCGTGCCTTTCTGTGCCGTGCCCGATTCCCCAAACAGTGCTTGCAGTTATGGGGCTCCCCTTGCGTCTGTAGGGTCCTATGCGGGTGTCCCGAGAATCCGCCACGTGCCAGCTTGTTGCCGCCCCGTTGCCGCCTGCGGGGGTGTCCTGGGGATTCGCCACGTGCCAGCTTGTCGCCGCGCCGTTGCCGCCCGTGGGGACGCCCCGGGGATTCGCCACGGTCCGACACGATGAAGGGCCGTTGCCGCCCCTGGGAGCGCCCCCCGGGATTCGCCATGGCCGGGCCAGCTGCCGCCCGTCGCTGCCTGCAGGGGCGTCCAGGAGGTTCGGCACGCTCCGGCCCGTGACCTTCCGTTGCCGCCTGTGGGGCCCCCCGAGGATGCATGCTCGCTCCCCGAGAAGCGACCGCACAGACGCTGGAATAGCACATAGCTTGCGCATCCACGGCGCCAGTTGCAGTGCCATGCCGTGTTAGGCCTGGCGGTCAGAATGCGAAAGAAGTGAGTTCCCGCGCCTGGTTCTTGGACAGCGAAGCAAGTTGCGGTGCCGTGCCGTACCGTGCCTGGTTTTCAGAATGCGAAGAAACTGCCGTGTTTTGCCGTGGTTTGTCCTGAACGTGCGAAAAAATTAGCAATATCGTGCCGTGGCGCGCCTGGTTCTCAGAACGCGACAAGGTTCCAGTGCCGTGCCGCGCTTGGCTTTAGGTCGGGCGTGTCCCCCTACAGGCGGAGCTTGGGCAACAAAATTTAAAATACTCCAAAAAGGCATCCAAATTGACAAAACATAAAAAGCAATGTCCCCAAACAATTTTTGAATATTCCTCCTGTAGAGTGACAGGTCCGACTTGAAGCTGGCATTCAGAATGCGAAACATTGCTCACACCGCGCCATGCATTGCCTGGTATTCAGAGTCCGAAACATTGCAGTGTTGTGCCGTGCGTTGTTTTGAAGATGCGAAGCAAATTGCCGTGCGGTACCTTGCCGTGCCCTCTTTCTGGGATGCGAAGCAATGCAAAGCGCTGCACTGCCGTGTCGTGCTTAGCTTCAGAGCACGCAACAATTTGCAATGCCGTGCCGTGCCGTGCCTGGTTTTCAGATTTTGAACACTTGCCGTGTCATGCCGTGTCGGGTTTGGAACATGCGGAAATAACATGCCGTGCCGTTGTTTTTTGTTTCTGTCAGAGTGCGACAGAACTGCCGTATCGTGTCCATGAAATTGTCGCACCCGTGCCATACCTCGTCGTGCCATCTTCTCCTAACAGTGCTTGTACTTCAGAGTCTTCACGTGTGGTCTAAGGAATTGGGCCTGGATGTCGATCTGGCACCTATGGTGTCACCGTCACCACTCCGCCGCCGCCCCGTCGCCGCCCGTCGTCTGGGCCTTGATGTCGGTCTGGCGGCTATGTTGTCGCCGTCGCCGCCCCGTCGCCGTCTCATCGCGGCCTCGCATAGCTGCACCACATAACATGCGCCACAGATCGCACAGCATAGTTCGCAACACATAGACTTCACAACATATATGGCATCGCACATCTTGTATCACATAGATCGCACGATATAAATTACACCACGTATATCGCGCCACGTAAATTGCAGCACATCGACATTACCGCATGTATTGCATCATATGCATATGCGCATGTCAGAGTGAGGGGACTGAACCGAAGGGTCATTCACTGTCCCTGGGTGCGTGGCTGAAGTGAAACTCTGCGTTGCAGATTATTGTTGTTGTTATTCCCCACATGTTTCGTGGGGTTATGGTTTTCTTCTCTGCCGCGTCGCACCCGCGTTTCCTCTCTCTCTCACACACACGCACACACACGCACACACCTCCCCCCCCCACACACAGCACAGCACAGCTCAGCACAGCTCAGCACAGCTCAGCTCAGCTCAGCACAGCAAAGCACAACATAACACAGCTCAACGCAGCACGGCACAGCACAGCACAGCGCAGCACAGCACAGCACAGCACAGCTCGGCACAGCTCAGCTCAGCTCGGCACCGCACAGCACATCACAGCACAGCTCAGCATAGCACACAGGGCAATCGCGCAGAGCACGGCACGGCCGAGCGTGGCCGGGGTGGCATTTTCTCGACACCAGAGAGGGTGCGCAAGGGGGTGGCCCCTCAGCGCGGTCTCTATGCGTGCCAAGGTCGGAAAGCGTGGCAGGGGTGGCACTTTCTCGACACCAGAGAGGGTGCACATCCTCGACACCACACGGGGCGCGCTGGGGGTGGGGTCGCTATCCGTTTCGGGCTCGCAACGCGTGGCAGGCGTGGCACATCCTCGACACCACAGGGGGCGCGCTGGGGGTGGGGTCGCTATCCGTTTCGGGCTCGCAACGCGTGGCAGGCGTGGCACATCCTCGACACCACAGGGGGCGCGCTGGGGGTGGGGTCGCTATCCGCTTCGGGCTCGCAAAGCGTGGCAAGCGTGGCACATCCTCGACACCACAGGGGGCGCGCTGGGGGTGGGGTCGATATCCGTTTCGGGCTCGCAAAGCGTGGCAGGCGTGGCACACCTCGACACCACAGGGGGCGCGCTGGGGGTGGGGTCGCTATCCGTTTCGGGCTCGCAAAGCGTGGCAGGCGGGCAGATCCTCGACACCACAACGGAGGCGCGCTGGGGGGGGGTCGCTATCGTGACGTTTCGGGCTCGCAAAGGTGGCAGGCGTGGCCATCCTCGACACCACAGGGGGCGCGCTGGGGGTGGGGGCCGCTATCGTTCGGGCTCGCAAAGCGTGGCAGGCGTGGCACATCCTCGACACCACGGGGGGGGGGGGGGGGGGGGGGCGTGGGGTGGGGGGGGGGGGTCGCTATCCGTTTCGGGCTCGCACAGAGTGGCTGGCGTGGCACATCCTCGACACCGCAAGGGGCGCGCTGGGGGTGGGGTCCGCTATCCGTTTCGGGCTCGCAAAGCGTGGCAGGCGTGGCACATCCTTGACACCACAGGGGGCGCGCTGGGGGTGGGGTCGCTATCCGTTTCGGGCTCGCAAAGCGTGGCAGGCGTGGCACATCCTCGACACCACAGGGGCGCGCTGGGGGTGGGGTCGCTATCCGTTTCGGGCTCGCAAAGCGTGGCAGGCGTGGCACATCCTCGACACCACAGGGGGCGCGCTGGGGGTGGGGTCGCTATCCGTTTCGGGCTCGCAAAGCGTGGCAGGCGTGGCACATCCTCGACACCACAGGGGCGCGCTGGGGGTGGGGTCGCTATCCGTTTCGGGCTCGCAAAGCGTGGCAGGCGTGGCACATCCTCGACACCACAGGGGGCGCGCTGGGGGTGGGGTCGCTATCCGTTTCGGGCTCGCAAAGCGTGACAGGCGTGGCACATCCACAACACCACAGGCGGGGCGCGCTGGGGGTGGGGTCGCTATCCGTTTCGGGCTCGCCAAGCGTGGCAAGCGTGGCACACCTCGACACCACGGGGGGGCGCGCGGGGGTGGGGTCGCTATCCGTTTCGGGCTCGCAAAGCGTGGCAGGCGTGGCACATCCTCGACACCACAGATGGGCGCGCTGGGGGTGGGGTCGCTATCCGTTTCGGGCTCGCAAAGCGTGGCAGGCGTGGCACATCCTCGACACCACAGGTGGGCGCGCTGGGGGTGGGGTCGCTATCCGTTTCGGGCTCGCAAAGCGTGGCAGGCGTGGCACATCCTCGACACCACAGGTGGGCGCGCTGGGGGTGGGGTCGCTATCCGTTTCGGGCTCGCAAAGCGTGGCAGGCGTGGCACATCCTCGACACCACAGGGGTCGCGCTGGGGGTGGTCGCTATCCGTTCGGGCCAAGCGCATCACACAGGTGCTCGCTGCTTGGACGGACTTCAGACGCATGAGCCTCGGTGACCACCCCGAACTTTTTCCCGATGAAGGATGGAAGGCGGGGAAGAGCGAGGATGTTCAATCAGTAGGGTGATGGATGACAATATTGGGAAACATTCGCGACGAGGGTTTAGCACGCAAGATTGCGCATATATGATAATGAAAAGCAAACGCATAACATTTCGATTAAATATGTGGGGTTCCTCGGTAGCGTAATTGACAATGTTGTTGTTGTTAAATGTTGTCGTCGTCTCACCCGCGACCCGCCCGCGACCCACCCGCGACCCACCCCGCGACCCACCCGCGACCCACCCGCGACCCACCCCGCGACCCACCCCGCGACCCACCCGCGAACCACCCCGCGACCCGCCCGCGACCCACCCCGAGCCCCCCGCGGGCGACCCACCCGCGACCCACCGGCGACCCACCCGCGACCCACCCGCGACCCACCCCGCGACCCACCCGCGACCCACCCGCGACCCACCCGCGACCCGCGACCCACCCAAAATGTTCGGCGCCTGCGGCGGGTTTCTTTTGCATTCGTTCCAGGTGGAGAACCTGCGACCCACCCGCGATCCAAACCGCGCCCGCGACCCACCCGCGACCCACCCCGCGACCCACCCCAAATTTTCGGCGCCTGCGGCGGGCTTCTTTTGCATTCGTTCCAGGTGGGGAACCTGCGACCCACACGCGACCCAAACCGCGTGCAGTGTACAAATCCAAATTTTCGGCGCTTGCGGTG